CTCTCCCAGTTTGCAAGATACAGCAATTTATTGCTTACTCTGCCATCTTGGCTACCGAACTTCCAACACACTTTTGAGGAGCAAAGGGAAGACTGAACTTTGCTCAAGAACGGAGGTTCCAAAGGGACTCAGAGGCTCTATGGTCCCTTTGGAAAGGAAGAAGTAGGCTGAGGGAAGTTCCCCTAGTAGGTGAGCTCTTTATTCAACTTCTTCTCCTGATGAGTCTATCCAAGCACACTGCATTATGAGTGGCTGTTTTGTTATCCAAATATTTCCAGCAAATTGAATTTCACTTCTACCACAAAAGCTGTCAGAAGTTAACTGGAGATATAAATAAACATAAAGTTTGTCAGAGAGCCCAATCTCTGTCTAGGTGTTAGGAATTTTCCTATCTGGCAGCTCAGAATAATTGTGACTGAACCCAGAATTTTTCATCTAAAATATACTCCCTAGAGCTGCAGAAAATACCAAGGAGACCTTAGATGGTATTATATTTACCCTGTCCCCAAGCCTAAGATAATTATTATACAGGGTGTTATGCATGTCAAGAATCCCCTTTAAATCATCATAGGCCCACTAATTGGTGACTATTTCTACCCTCTGATAGTGAGGTAGTTCCATCAGAATTACAGGGTCAGAGAGGTCTTACACTTCCCCAGCTTCTGCTGACATTGCCGGTACCAGTAACAATACTGGTAGTACCTGCCTCAAAATATTGTGGAGGAAAAAACAAAAATTACACTTTATTTCAAGACCTAGGAGCATTTGAAAAAGGACTACTTCAGATTGAAGATGGTCTGTGGGTCCACATCCACTTAAAGCCACATTGTGCTGATGTGTTTTCATTTTCTAGTCAGTCAGAGGATATATCTAATTCAAAGGAAAGACAAGTGATAAAAAGGAATATTGAAAAAAAAAAGTAGCAATAAAACATCAGAGTGGCTAGGTAGTGCAGTGGATAGAATGCTAGGCCTGAAGTTAGGAAGACCTGAGATCAAATCTGACATTAGGCATTAGCTGTGTAATTCTGGGCAAGTCACTTAATCCTGTTTACCTCAGTTTCCTCATCTGCAAAATGAGCTGGAGAAGGAAACAGCAAACCAACTCAAGTATCTCTGCCAAAAAAACCGCAAATGGGGTCTTGAAGAGTCGGACACAACTGAACACAACTGAACAGCAATAAAGCAATAAAATATTTCCTCCATAAATTTTGAGCTTATTCTCCACAAGTATAGCACTAGTGAGAAGAGTAGACTCAGGTAGAGAAAAGGAGGGGCAGGTTACTTAGTTACAGAGCAGAAGTGGCCATGGCTTGTGTGGAAGGGGCAGCTAAACCTCCTATGCTGCAGGGTTGTTGATGTTTTCTGGCAGTGTCATCAACTGATCCTACTTTGTCTGTGTCCCTCTGGTCTCTGTGCAGACTGCTGTCCTCTCTGAAGAAAACTTCAGCCCTGTCAACTTACTTTCTGCCTGTCTCCTGTGGTTGTATCATAACACAATGTTGCAGCATTGCTCAGCTGGTACCATGACTGCTGTTCATGACTGTCAGTAGAGCTCCTGTCTGCTTCTAGCTTTGTACTCCAATGTAGTTTTTAGAGGTACAATGCTAGCTTTTCTCACAGGAGGATAACTGGGCCCTTCTATATTTTTGTTTTTGTTTGTTTATTGAAAACTTTAAAGGCTTTTTTTTTCTTTTATAAGGAAAAAGGAGAAATCCTAAAATATCCAGATATTGTACTAGGGAAGAACAAAACTAACCAACCAACCAACCAACCAACCAAATATCACTAGGGACAAGCTTTTCTAGTTAGTGCTTTTCCTCTCAAAGTCCATCTGTTGACAGCATAGCAGTTATGGCCCAACCCATCCAGGACCATTCATTTCAGTGAGAATACCCAATATGTTGACTTTTTGAAGATAATGGTAACAAAACAATAATATTTGAGCACAGAGAAGCTCTCTACCCTCTCATGCCATTTGCCTTTGAAAGGATTGTGAAAGGAAACAGACTGTTTAAGAAATAAAAGACAAAAATATGGGTAGAAAGAAAATGCAAATCAATATCTCTAGCTGGCCCCAGATCCAAACACACTTTTTCCTGGTCATTTTTTTTTTTGTTTCCCCCATCTAACTCACCATCCTATAAAAACTGTTACCTGGAGGAGATGGCTCAGTCTTGGAGCTTCTACCCTGGAGTGTGATATCTTAATTGGTGAGACTCATATAGCTTTAGTTCAGTAAGGTGCTTCCTCTTAAAAGTCAACAAATATTTACTAAGTTCGTAGTAGGTGTGAAACGTGCGGGGAAACAAAGAGAGGCAAAGGAAAGATTTCTTGTCCTAGGTACCAAGCTTGCTTTTTGGAATGCAGAGCAACCCAGGTAGGTAGTGAAATCATACTTAATGCTATTTTTGAAGTATATTTTGAGGGCCTGAATCATATGTTCCCATTTCCCGTGAAGACCTTTCAATATTTGAGGACTAGAAAATATATTTGCATCTTCATTTAGAGATCATAGGCTCTGATATTTATTTTGAGGGGAACTCTGCAACAGAAAAAAAAATAGGTATGATCCCTTACTGTATGAGAAAGTCTTAACTTTCTCTGTAATGCAGATGAATCTTTCTGAATATCCATCTTTCATATGTGTAAGTACCAACAAGCCTATTTAGGCTTTGAGCCTATACTACATCATTATTCTGCCAGAAGAGTTTTTCATTTTATTTTTCTCCAAACTTTTGAAAGACTTAAAAATTTTAGAAAGATAGAAATAACGGGCAAGCTGTCTGGTGTCAAATATCAATTAAAAAGTCTATGATCTGGGGGACAACCTGTATTTGTATACTTTTCAGGTGACAGGGTCAGGAAAGTAGCAATTTCCTTCCATATCTAGAAACATTCTATTGGCCTGATCTCTGGGAATTTGTCCAATCTTTCTGTAGAACTTATTAAAACTACTTCCTCTGGGCCTTAAGTAGGGTGGGAAGAGAGAACCCATAAGAAAAAAAAAAGATATTTAACTTCATTTCATCATCATCATTGCTACTCTATTTGTCCCAAGGAGTCAAGAGCTTACATTCTAGTAGGAGGAGACAGCACATATAAGAGAGCAGTAGCTAGAAAATGCTATTTTGTTTTGGAAAGTCACAGAGGTGGACATAAAGTAACAAGGCAGGATCAGTAATATCTTTACCCCAAACAATAGTAATATTGATTTGATTATTATTCTCAGAACAAGAAGTGGAATGTGTATGGAAAGGGGATATACATATCTAAGGACAAATGACAGGAAGAAGTCTGGAGTGATACGCAATTTATTTGGGGCCAGTTAGCTGTACTAGTCTCATCAATTAAGATAGCACACTCCAGGGGAACAAGTTCCAAGGCTGAGTAAGCTCCTCCAGTTAATGGTCTTTGCAGGTCCAATTTGGACAGGATGGTGAGTTAGATGGGGGAAACAAAAAAAATGACTAGGAGAAAGTGTGGTTGGCTCCAGGGCCAGCTAGAGATATTGATTTGCATTGTCTTTCTATCCATGTTTTTGTCTTTTCTCTCTGAAACAGTCTGTCATTGGGGTTTCCTTTCAGAGTCCCTTCAAAGGCAAATGGCATGAGAGGATAGAGATCTTTTCTGTGCTCAAATATTATTGTTTTGCTACCAATATCTTCAGAAAGTCAACATGTTGGGTACGTTCAGACTAGAGTGTATGGTCTTAGATGGGTCAGGCCATTAATGTTATGCTGTCAATGTTTTGTAATAGACCAACTTATGGGCCACTATAGTTTATACGCAACTGCTTATAATGTATTATCTGAAATTTTACGTGAAGATTCAAATATCAAGCCAGAAGAGGGCAATGTTAACTTGAATTTTTAAAATTGTGAAGTTTTTTATACAAACTTTCCAATTAAAGATGTGCATACTATTTTCCTAAAGTTTTTTTTGTTGACTATATGTGACAATCAAACTATTTGTATTTATTTAGGATTCTGAACTTCAGTTAAATATCATTTTATTGACATTTTAAATAATAGAAACATGAAAGCAATATCAAGGCTCCCATTTACTATTGTACTGATAAAATTCTTCATTTTTATTGTAGGCCTTTGATTTTTTATTCTTCTGAATACAAATCAAGGGCAAAAATGGCATTGATTCAAGGCAAAAAATGCAAATTTAAACACAGAAAATCATGACATTTTTGAGATGCTTTTCATTCATGCAAAGGTTAGAGTTCTAAAAAAATATTCATCGCCCACATGTTATTCATGTAACTTTGTGGGAAATTGATGCTGCAACCACCTATAGCTATCCCTCAAGCATAATTAATGCTAATCATGGGGCATGTTAACTTAGCTTGGATAATCTTCGGATTTCCTGGCTTCTGCTTTCTCATTGTTAACATCGTTTTTGTCATATATTTCTCATTTAATTCCTTATTCTAGAAAGGTGGAACTTATAAAATTGATGGAAAAGGTCACTTTCATTACGTGTTTTGGTGTCTTTCTCATGAAATCTGCCCTCCTTTTTTGTCCAGCTAGGGCCTATTCCCATTCAGACCATCCATAAAAGAGTTGTTATACAGTCCCCTATATTAATATTTATTCTGAGAGCCTTTGTTTATTCAAGGTGTTCTCTATGTAAGGAAGGGGAAGCTGATGCTTGAATTTGAAAGGCAATTTGAAAGGCAATTTCTGCCTTTTGAGTATTTTGGGAAATTAATGACCTTGAATTCAGGAAGACCCATCCTCTAATTGCTTTTTATTCTGAAATAGTCTCCTTACTGTCTCTTCTTAGGGTTAATTTGGCCACATTAAAACAATATACTCTTCTTCATTGCCATGCCACATGCCTGCCTGCTCTAAACACACATCAGAAAGAATTTTCTTCCAGCTCACAACTTGAATATATATTCTTAAAAATGGGACCTATTGAGACGCGATTTATCCGCAACAGTCTAGAGACTGCTTGGCTTAGTGGGAGGTACTTGGATCTTTCAAGATGGGTGAACCTCAGCAAGTGAGTGCACTCCCTCCACCACCAATGCAATTCATCAAGGAATATACAGATGAAAACATCCAGAAAGGTCTAGCTCCTAAGCCTCCACCTCCAATAAAGGACAGTTATATGATGTTTGGCAATCAGTTCCAGTGTGATGACCTTATCATCCGCCCTTTGGAAAGTCAGGGCATTGAACGACTTCACCCTATGCAGTTTGATCATAAGAAAGAACTAAGAAAACTCAATATGTCTATCCTTATTAACTTTTTAGATCTTCTAGATATCTTGATTAGGAGTCCTGGAAGCATAAAACAAGAAGAAAAGCTAGAAGACCTTAAGCTGCTTTTTGTCCATGTGCATCATCTTATAAATGAATACAGACCCTGCCAAGCAAGGGAGACGCTCAGAGTCATGATGGAGGTACAGAAAAGGCAGTGCCTTGAAACAGCTGAAAGATTTCAGAAGCACTTGAAACGAGTTATTGAAATGATCCAGAATTGCCTGTCTTCTTTACCAGATGATTTGCCTCATACAGAAGGAGGAATGAGGTTAAAAACTGAGCCAATGGATACTGATGACAGCAAAAATTGTACTGGACAAAATGAACAGTGAGAAAATTCTAGTCACAGAAGAGACCAGATTATAAAGAAAGATGCTGCTTTGTTTATCTTAATTGATGAAATGAATGAAAGGCCATGAAGTCTTTTAAAATTTGTTGTACAAACTTTTGGGGGGTGGGGTGGGGTTATGTAGCCAAAAATTGTATGGCGTTGTCTTGCTTGATACTCTTGAAACTTATATAGAAATATAAATTTGCCTGATCATGAAAAAGAAAATGGGACCTATCTCCCTATATCAGGTATTCAATAATAACAAGAAGTGAAAATAGTACTAATGCATAGTAATAATGATGTAAATTTTTATCATCAAGCTCCTTAAGCATTATGAATACTTGGAGTTTATTTTATGGTCAAAGTATGGAGTTCATATACAAAACTGAACAATCTGAAATTTCACTAGTAGTGGGGAACTTCCTCCATCACTTAATGAATATATCTCTTAGTAGGTAAGTGCTAAGGATAGACTTGATGTACAAAGAGGTTAAGGCAGATGGCAGAATATTTTTCATCTGGTATTCAGATGTGTTTAAAAAATTATATGCAATAAGAGGCCTTTGATTTCCCTTCTAGCTTTAATACTCTATTAGTCTGTGGATTTTCATGATGGGATCTATGAATGTATCTATTTCAGAATCACAGAGTATTAAAATTGGGAGGAAATTCAGAGGCTTTTTCAACTTGTATCTGAAAAAATGATCCTCTCTAAATGTAACTAAGAAGTTGTCACTTCAGTCTTTCTTTGATGATGTATGTTCAAGTATATGCACACTGCATTTTAATGTTTCCTTAGCTTTCAAGCATCACCCTAAAGCATTCAGTAGTTACCAAAATAATCTTTCAGCAGCTGACACAGCAAGTGCAACATTTTGTGTTTGCAAGTGCTCTTACATTCCCCATTTCCTATAGAGCTAGGAGGCAGCAATGGCCCAAACTGCCCTCTGTTATCTCGGCTACTTCCTGTAGAGATGGATTCCCTGCCACAGTTAGTTATATGTTCCTCTTCCCAGTCAGACATTAGATTTTTTTGTTGTTGTTTTGGAAGGCAATTGAGATTAAGGGACTTGCCCAGGGTCACACAGCTGCTAAGTGTCTAAGGCCAGACTTGAACTCAGGTCTTCCTGACTCCAGAGCTCATACTTTATCCACTATGCCATTTAGCTGTCCCTGCATTAGATTTTTTTTTTTTTTAGCATTTCAGTCTCCCTATCTGTCTTTGTAAACATAAGGAAATTGGCTTGTAAAAAGTGCAATGTATAACTTGCTAAAGGGTTTTCTTCATGCGAATTACCTAACAAAGTATTGTTATGGTGAACACTGTCACTACCATTACATTAGGATGCTAAGGAGACTCTATTTGCTCAATAACTCTTACAAGTATTTTGTTGGCATGGATTATATATTGATCCATTTTTAGGCTTGCATGAAATTATAAGCTCCCTGCAGTCAGAGAACATACCTGTTCTTTAATATGAGTTATATTTTATTCATAATGTCTCAGAGTGTCCACCATAGTGTATCCCTTTTTGTTGATTTGACTTTCATGTGATACAGATCCCATGACTTAACAAAATGTAATGAATCTAGTCAAAATGGGATCTTAGAAACAAATGAACCTTCTTTCACAGTGGTAGTCCACCTAAGTTAGAGAAACTCCTCATTAAAAAAATAAAAAATGACCCTCAACTTTGTGCAGCCACCTTCCGTGTTGGCAGTCTGAGTAGCCAAATTATGGAAAATAGGTCAGAAGGGACAAAGAAACACGAAGTTTTTAGGTCATCTATAAACATTAACCTAAGTATTGGTAAGTCTAAATCTGAGATTCTTGTCCGGTGACCAAGCAGTCTACATACTAACTGAATAGTCAAATCATATAGGTCTTGATATTCTCCCTAAAAACTAAACAAAAAAAGAGGAAATTGCAGCTAAATGGAAGGATACCTCTTTTCTTAGAGAGGCAAATAAAGAATTGGAGCAGTTGGTTTTATAGGGCATCCAAAGGAGCCATGAAGCATAATTTCATGGGATATTTAGTCATCTCATATTGCAGCGCTCACAATATTTGCAAAATATCAGTAAGAAAATAATTTTGTCCTGTGAACCAACATCGGTTGCAGTGGATAAAAAATAATGTTTACTGTTCCTCACACATGGTCTCCTGTTACTATACCCTTGCACCAATTCTCCCCTATTCTTGGAATGCATTCCCTCTTTGCCTCCACTTCTTATCATTCTTCTTTTTCTTTTAAGCTTAGTTCAAGAACCACTTTCTACAAGGCCTTTTATGATTCTTCTGGCCCTCAGATTTTAGTGTTTCCTTCCCCTCATTAAAATTACCTTGTATTTCCTTTGAACATGTTTGGTATTTGCTTATATGTGTCCATGTTGTTCTCCTGATAGAAAGTAAGCTCCCTGAGTATAGAGATTTTTTCATCTTTGTCTTTGCATCCGTAGTGCCTAGCATAAGACCTGACACCCAATAGATATTTAATAAACGTTTGTTGTTTGATTTATTGATTGATATTTTATGAATAACTTCATAATATCCTTAAAATTAAATCAAAACACACATTGATACTTGGTAATTTTAATGCATAGATGGAAAAAGGTGAGATTGTAAAAAAAGTTGGAAAATATAGAAGAGTAAAGAATGAAAGGTCAAATATTTGTAGACTACATAAAAGTTTCTCAATTTTGAATACTTTCTTCTAGAAAAGAATCAGTTGGCATTTGATCATAGTGAGTACCAAATAAAGTTACAAAGAATGCCATTAAGTACATTTTAATGAACAGGAAATGGCTAATTACTGAGATGGGAGTGATTCCCGAATCAATTGCCTTGTGTATAGTCAATCCACCAATTTAAGAGTTCAGGTGAAAATTATATAATGCTACTGCAAAAGAAAGAATAAATATGGAGAAGATATGGCATGCAGTTGAAAAAATTCAATTCTGATCTATTCAAGTCACTGTTTAAGAAAAAATGAGTAATGGTTAGAAAAGACAGATATATTCCATATAGAGGTATTAAATATGTAAGTCATTTACTGTAATAAGGATTCTAAAAAGTTAAAAAAAGTGACTTATTCAGCAAATACTTGAGTTAATAGCCAATATGAAAAGTATGACAGGGAAAAGTAAGACCAGTTTACAATATAAATTTATTTGTAAAATCTTATGGAGAAGGATGATGAAAGATTATAAACAGCATCATCTCATAAAACATAGGGAAGCAGTGGAGGATAAAAACCAATTTAAGAATACCTTAGAGAGAAACCCAAAGCAAAGTCACCTTAAACATATGAAGATGAAGATGGAAGGACAACAAACAAAAGAATGAAAAAAAGTTCTACACAGGTTTTTATGAGAGATTATTTTAACCATTGAGGAAAAGTGGAGCTACTGAATTCAAATACTGACATCATATTCCTGAATGTGCTTGTATATAGAACAGGTGGAGACGGCAAAGAGCACATAAGTAGAAAAATTAGCTGAAGTCAACCAATATACATAGAAAATATCTGCCCTGGAGGTGATGCAGTGTGATTGCATTGATGGATCAATTTATACAGTATCTGAAGAAGAGGAAGATACTAAAAGGAAAAAAATCTTAGACTGTATTAATACCACCTTCCCCCCTAAAAGATGACTGAAAAAGTATCTTTCTTGCACATAAATGAATTTAATATATGCTTCTTGAATGAGTGAATGAATGAAAAATAAGCTGGATCTTGACCGTGAAGGGCTTTAAATGCCAAGTAGAGGAGTTTGTATTTTACCTTAGAGAAAATATGGAACCACTGATATTTCTCTGAAGGGCAATGACACAGTCAAGATACATTCTTTACAAATAACATTTTGGAAGCTGTGTGGAGGTTGGATTGGAAAAAAGAAAGATTAGAGTCAGGGAGACAAACAAGGAGGCTAGGGCAATAGTCCAGGTGAGAGATGATGAGGGTTTGGACTACAGGGTGGCTATGTGAATGATGAGACTTTGAAACTGTTTGGACATGGATTGGCAAGAACAAGTGATTCCAAGGTTGTGAACCTTAAACACTGAAGGTGATATCCTAGTCAGAAATATGGAAGTTAGGTGAAGGGGAAGGCTTAGGGGTAAAGATAATGAGTTCCATTTTAGACCTAGAGAATGTGAATTACATCTTAGACTTTTTAGCTTCCTCCAAAGCTCAACTTAAAGGCTACCTCCTACATGAAGCCCTTCTTGATTTCCTTAGATACTGGATTATGACTCTGAAATTATCTTGAATTTGCTCATGTAATAGCTCTATCTTTTCAGGCAGATTACACATTATTTCCCTTAAAGCATTCTGTGCCCTAGCCAAATTGGCCTGATATCTATTTGTTGTCTACATATTCCATTTCCTGAATCCTTTCTTTTGTGTAAGCTATCTAGCATACTTGGAAAGCTCTCCTTCCTGACCTTGGAAGCGCTAGCACCCTTTAGCGTTCAAGTGCTACTTCATAAAAGAAGCCTTTCTTTGTTCTACTATTTTTTACTGTCTGCATCTCAATCCAATATATACGTTAAGATTAAAGTAGTAGCTTGATGGGAACAAGGTCATAGAAAAGGTAGGAAGGAATAGGATGATAATATATATGAAGGGATTAGCTTTGGAAAGATGAAGAATCACTTCATTATCTGAGACAAGGAAAGCAACAGGTGAAGAAATAGAGAAATTTTGAAATAGTAAGCCAGGTATGGCTCCAAAAACGTTTTGAGATAGAGAGGAAGGAAGGCAAGGGAGTTCACTGTTTATGTTTGAATTTTTAGTATTCACTTTGTAGATTAGTTTCTGGGACTCGGCAGAAAATATTTTACTTCTCCTAGAGAAATATAATCACAGTGGAATTTTTACCTCTGCTTGAAGGTGTAAAATTTTATGAATAGCTGAAATGGGAACATATGCTATCTATAAATACATTTGTACAAAGATTGTTTTTGAAACTTTGTATATGCATTTTTAGTGCCAGGAT